GACAAACAGCTGATCGGCAGATCGGGGCAGCCATTTAAATTTAAATGAAGCCGCGATTATTTTAATCGCGGCTTCATTTCCCTCTTTCGATCTGGCTAATCTACATGCCTCCGTCGAAGGAGGCATGTAGTCTAGACACACCCCAAGTTACAGCCAGTGAGTAAAGTTCAACTGGACAATTACTAAAAGAGCTGTGATGCCAGGTAATTGGTAAATTTAATGGACACTCCCACAACCATAAACCCAACATTGTACCATTCGCACAGGCAAGATTAAAACTGATTCCTGATTTGGACATAACCAGGACATGTTGAAAGAGGAACGGTGCCCTCTTGTGGGAGGCCCCAAGCAAACTGTACTAATTCAAAGTACTTCTACAGACTATTCTCTTGTATCATGAGGAGCAAAATCCAAAGACAACAGAAAGCACCTTACCTTAACCCCTTGCTCATCCACTGAATTACTACCTGCCAGCAAAACATAAGACAAAGAGGATGTCAGTCTCTTTATACGATCTACCAAACCATGCAACATTAAACACTGTTACAAACAGGCACAGATTGCATGAGTACATCCATCCATGTGACAAACCACCCTTCTCAAATAATCTGATAGGCCTTACACCTTCTGCACACAGGGTAATGCCACAGTGATAATAGCCACATAAGTACCGAGACAGGCCAAGAAAGGGGCATCAAGTGCGTTAGATTGCAAACTCTTTAGGCTAGAGACCACATCTACCTGTGCGGCACCTACCACAATGACGTTTAGCTCTTATTTAGTACTTGTAGATCTCAAAAGTAACTTACGGAGCACTCCTAAGGGAATGTCAGAGTTAGATTCCCTGTGTGATGGTCCTTTAAAGACTATTTGGGAGGGTACCACCACCCCTTCTACAGACGTGGCCCAGATCCTGACTGGGGTCTATGAAAACCATGGTAATATAAATACTAAATAAAAACGGAAAGAACAGAACCTCTGGGTTCTATACCCATGACCCTTCTACTGATTTCTTGTGTAGCAAGTCACTGGCATGCACCCTAAGTACGGATGTGAAAATGTGTGTAATTAAGTAACCATGTAACTGCTAAAATTTCCAGCAGTTACATATGGGGAGCCAGCTTTTAAGCCAGCTGCCTACATACAACCATGAATGTTAGCCAATGAGCCCAGGCTCGTCAATTAACCGTTTACACGGTCACACTTTCACATCTCTAACCATAAGCATCTATAAAATTATGATGGAAATAATGATCCTTCACACCCTTGCAGTGGGATTGTAAGGCTTTGCTTTTTAAAAAGACTTAAGATTCTTAGCAGAAAGGTCATAAAGCAGCATGAAACCCAGCCAGTGACTGGACAAGGGGAACCAACTCAACTGTTAGATAATAATCAGACAGGCACTGAGAACATTTGCTGGCATTTCTGTATAATTTTTAAGACATTTCTATCGCAAATGGATTGGAACAGCTTACCAAAAATATAGATAACTGCGATCCCACTACCAACTCCCATTAGCCCTGCTATCCGGAGCACCACTTTCTTGGCATAGGCTGTATTTTCCTTCTGTTTCTTCTCCTGCTTCTCATCCGAACTGGAGCCTTTCCCGTCTCCTCCCTCTGTTACCTACCCATGGAGGGTGGAATAGAGAAAAGATTCATATTAGCAGGTGTGAAAGAGACAAAAGTAGCTACCCTGAAGAGTCACACACTGGCAAATAAATGACTCACTGAACTCAAAACATCTAGGGGAAAAATTAACTGGCCTCTGTGTGGTATCAAAATGCCATCCTGGAACCTTTTACAAAATTCCCAGTCAAAGAATAAATAAGGCAATTCATATAATCAGAGAAACTAGAGATGGGCAGGATCCATTACATTCTCCAGCCAGAGATCAAATGAGCATATTCTCCAGCCTTTACAGTAAACATTGTACCCTTTGAAATATAAAAGGAGTAAATCAACGTAGTGAACTCTGCCTGAATATGCAGGCTGAAACAATATGAAACAATAGTTCTAAAAGGTGCATTAAGTGCTTCATTCATCCACAGGGAACACTGAATCCCAGTGAGGCAGTTAAATGTCAGCAATGTTACCTATTTTTAGGCTGATTGAGCATGTAAGAAAAAGGGAGATTTGTGTTATGACAGGGATGTAAAAATTGGTTTAAAAAGCTAGCTATGTAATTACTAAAAACACTAGCGGTTACTCTGCAATATCAAGCTCAAATAAGCTTTGTACGGCAGAGTCTGTAGCAAAGTCTCCCCAGGAGGGTGTCACCAGCCCCTGCCACAGTGAAGCCACTTCCCTGGGAGCCGGGCCGGATGGGAGGCTCTGCAGCCCGTTCCCAGGGAGCCAGGGTGAACCTGTCTAGGGTGGTGATTACCAGCACCTTTCACATCCCTAGTTATGAAGATGTGCACAGCCAACCAAACATGGCACCTCAGCTGGCCGTGCTCAGGTACCACTATTCCCTCCCTCTCCATTTTGACCCCACGTCTAATACAGCCATTTCAGCCTGAGAGACTAGTTTCCTGTAAGGTTTCTCTGCACTACTGATTCACAAACACGGTGTCAAACATTTGTGCCAACCAAAGAAAATGCCCCCCAGCCTCAAGAAAATAACATCAGACTTGCAAAATTCTCCTCATCCACTTGCTCAGGAAGAATAAGGTACAAGAATTGTCATTAGTGATCAGATTTCTGGCAAAGGGTAGGTGAGGGGGTTCTGTGCTTCGCTTGATACATTTTCATAACAATTTCACAAGACTGCTCTGAAGTTCTGCTACCAGGAAATTCCTCTTATGTTTCGAATGGTTAAAATAAACTGCTCGGGGAATGTTTGCACCTGAGCCTGAAATCTGAATGCAAAGTCTTGACCAGAATACAGTTTTGTTTAGTAGCCATTTGAGAGAGCTGAGATCTTAAACCCAGCACAACAAAAAACGGCAATACGTTCACTTTTTACTCCATTGGTTAAAAGCCTAGTAGCTCTGTAAGGACTAACACCCACCTGAAATGCAGGGTAGAAGAACATGATAATGCCCAGCTGCATTTGTGAAAACTACCATAGGAACTGCAGTGCTTGCAAGGGGTCCTTCCCTGTATCACCCAGGACTCTCTGGCACCATGCCAGAGCACTGAGATTGGCATCAAGATACCTACACAGCTCCATGCAGCACCCAAGATGTTTTCCTGGTTGCTGCTTCCCCAAACACCACCCAGACCAAATCACGACATGCCGGAGACATGACAGGCAAACAGTCTGGCACAAAGAGGAACGAGTGAAGAGGAGCAAGGGAAGTGCCAGTGCCAAGGGCAACTCAGGAGAGTATGAATCCTCTCTCCAATCCCAGATGAGCCTATACCCACAACCTGCTTGTGGGACCTTTCAGGGGCCTGGCATTGGCTCTGCAGCTGGAGACACACTGGGTTGTAAGAGGACAGAGCTGATTCTGCGAAGCCTTTCAATCAACATTGCAGCAGCGCCACCTTGTGACAGAAGTGCAGAGCGTAGACATGAGGCTGCCAGGTCAAGGGCCTTGATGACCTCTGTGCCTAGATCATGTCTGCTTCTCTGTGCCAAGTGGAGCCATTGCTGACAGTAAGCCAGTCTTGTCCCATCCCAATGACAATTCTCCTCCGTGACAGTCCCCTAATCCTCATCCCCCATCTCTATTGTACCTCCACTGTTCAGTCTTCCGCACACCGTCTTCTCCAATCGTTAGCAGCCTCTCTTTGCCTTCCTTCCCCACCTCTTCCCAGTCCCTCTGTATGGTAATCCCCAGCCTCCCTCCCACACCTATCTCCTTCCCAGTCCTCATCCTTTCCCTCAAAATCATCTGACCCTAATCCCCTGCCAATCATTTCTGGTCCTGTCCATTAACAACCCACCTCTTCTCCACAAGTCATATCAGCTAGCCCCATTCCCCCACTCTGCTCTCCCTCCCTCCCCATCAACTATGACCTCAGCCATGCTCTATTCCCTGCCCCCCAAATACACCCCAGCTTCTTGTAATAAAGACAGTAAATTTATGAGCTGTCACAATAACCTGTTAGATAGAAATTAATTGAATTGTCCTGTAATTGCATCAAATTTTTGCTGTTACATGACAGCCCCAACCCCACTCTCAGGGAGCCCCCTGCCACTCCATGCCGCTGCT